ATATGAATTTTAAAACCATGCATCAGTGGATGAACATTTGTTTCTGTTTTAAATGTCAGGTTTTATTCATAATACTATTATGAGTATTCATGTACAAGTTTTTGTGTGGATATATATCTTCATTTCTCTTGAGAATATAATTGCTAATTTGTTTGGTAACTCAAGGTTTACCATTTGGAGACACTATCAGACTTTTCTCAATAAACCTGCACCATTTTACATGCCCACATGGTGTGTATAAAGATTCCAACTTCTCTGCATCCATTCACTCAAGCATTTGTTATTAGGTTTTAAGTCACTCCAGTTTGAAGAAAGTAGTATGATGGTTATGATCTCTATTTCCCTAAGGACTAATGATGTTGTACCTCTTTTCATGTTGTTTTGTTTGTTTGTTTTTAGTTTTCCCAAGGCTTTTGAGATTCTTTATCATAGTTTATTTTATTTATCTAACTTCTCCAACTTAAACATTCTCCTTATTATTTTGAATTTGGCAGCTTGAGTGAACTCCTTTCAATTCTTTGAATTTTTTTCTCTCAAGTGTAGGCCTACATACTTCCCATTTCCTTTCCACTTTGCCCTGATTTGCTTGCCAAGGCTTACTTTATGCACATACAACAGGTGTGATTGAATACAGATCCACACTCAGGAGMACCCAATGCTTATTATTACTTGTTCTCATCTTGAAATTTTAATACATTTTAAACRAGAAATCACATTTATTTTTTTTTCTGTGGGCCTGAAAATTTGTAGTCATACTATTACCTGTATTATTATTATTACTTGTCCTTCTGTTTAGAAATACGTACAAGAAACTGTTCCTCACTTCTGTAGATCATATTTGATATTCTTCCTGAATCTATACCATAATTAATTATAATTTGTCATTTTCTATTATAAGCATGTTTACTTGATTTACCAATAGCTTGCCTTTCTTATCAATTTTTCTACCCTCAGAATCTAGTCCAGTGCCTGTATACCACTAGCTGTGGTACAATATGCAGTTCAACATCACAATTTAGCCTCAGGTGGTTAGGCGTATAGAAAATGTATTTCAGATCAAAAATTCTAGGGTCAGACTAGCTGGGCAGGTAGCTACTATCAGTTATAAGCTATAGACTCTGAGTCCTGCATAGGTCATTTAATGTTCTGTGCCATAATGTCTTCTTCTGAAAATGAGGCTACTAGTTCTAATCCCATGGTAGAATTATGGGATTCATTTAAATAATAAGTGGAGARAAATTAAAATTCTGAAAAACAGTTACCATTTATCCATCATGTTACCTATTAAAATTATTATACTAAATTATTATTTGTTGAATAAATTTTTGATTATATGTGAAAGAGAAAGAAAATAGCACTACTACCTGGTATAAAATAACCAGAACTTTTATTGCACATATTAATCTTTATTGTACTGACTTATACTGCTAGGAGAAAGGGTAATTGTACAAAAGTTYAGTTCATGAAGTCAAGATAGAGAATTAGGAATCTGGGAGCAAGCCCAGAAGGAAGAAAATTGATGCTAATAGCTAATACAAGAATCTTATAAGGAGGAAAGAAAAGCCTTCCATTTAAAATTATTTGATGACTGCAGGAATTGTTCAATGAAATACTAACACAATTTTGAGAAATTTGGATAAATAATGGTAAACTGTAGACTACTTTCCTTTTTGCATATTCAGCAGTTATGCTTTCTCTTTTAAGTGTGTGAAGTTGGGTTTAATTGAATATAGGTAGAGATATAATGCCATTAGGAAGAAAGTACATGATATATAATTCACAGGTACAAAATTAGATGGAGTTTTTTGTTAGTCTACATTTGTCTTGGGTTCTGCATGCAGTCTCTACTCACCTGTTTTACATCATGAGACCCCATATCCCTTTACTTCCTCCTGGGTGTCTGCTGGCCTATCTCTGTTCACTCAAGAAAAAGCCTATGAACATGGCACTTTGTATATTTACAATTTTGCTACAATTAAAATTGCCAACAGAATTTTAAGATGGAACTAAATCAAGATATTTGATTAAGTAATACTTAAAAGGACAGAAAACTTTAAGCTTAATTAATTTATAAAATATTGAAATACTATTCAAATAAGAAGTTTTTAAACTGACCTTCTAGAAAGGCAAAGAATATAACAGCAAATCAAATTTCAGAGTGTGCATTTCTATGAAGGGTAAGAATAATAATGTGCAGTCAGACAATTTGCTTTCTAATCATCTTACTTAATTCAGTGATAGAACCTGGAAACACTAGGTAGACAGCTAAAATGTCCATTAACCTGTCTCAATCAAATATCAGATGTATTAAATGAATCTTCTTTAGGTATTGAATCAAAGCCAAGATATAAATGAAATTTCTTTCAGATATGTGCAATGTCTCTTTATAGCACAAAGAGAGAGATGTCCTTTAGAATGTCAGATATGTGAAGGAATGACTTTGGTCTTCCAGTGTAAGTATTTGAGTTAAAAGCACATAGAATCTCTCTATGAATGCAATGTTAACTCTGAAAATAATAATTTCCCAGTCAATCACACATTGTTTGATTCATTTAAGGAAAAGAAACTGTATTTCTCCAAAATTTCTGTTAACAATTTCATATATATGGATAATAACTTTGAAGTACCAATATTATTACTAATATCATACTGATTTTTGTACAGTGATGATATTTACAACAATAGAGATGGGGAAGAAGAAATATTCATGAAGTTGCCATGAGAATTAAAATAAGATCAGTTGCATTTTAAAATTATTCACAGCTACACAAAAAATACTGTCTTCAGCTGTAATGACTTTGTGTCAAAGAAATATAGGCAATATCATTTCAGTGGCTTTCACAGAGTATGGGAGTCCTTCTGGGTCAGGATCAACCTAAAGGTATAATTGTTCTCTCTAAAATCCAAAGACCCCTGTCTTTATACTCAAAGAAGTGCAACCAGAGACTGTGAACAGGTGAGGTGGACAGCAGATAGGTTGAAGAAAATATTGTTTCTGAAAATAGAAAAGGATAACGTTGAGAAAGTTGACAGACTCACATCTTTTAGCAATTGGAAAATAAGTAAATTAAATTTTAGAAACTGATCCGAGAGTGAGCACATAGTATATAGCATGGGTCTTGGAAAATAATTACAATCATTCATTGAAAAAAAGAACAGATTGTGCTGGTGGTGGAGAATGGTGATTTTATCATTGAAAAAAAGAACAGATTGTGCTGGTGGTGGAGAATGATGATTTTAGACCTGTGCATTGTGATTTAAGGCAGGTCTCAAAGGGTCATGCTCTGGAACTAAGATATCTGACTCCACATCTCCAAGGAAAGACGGATTCTGACAGGAGAAAGATTCATSGGAGGGCATCAGTTTAGCTGTGGGCAGGCAAGAGAGGGCCTAACTGGAGTGTGTGCACTGAAAAGAGAATAATATCCAGGGAGGAATCCAAGGTTCCTCTATGGTGAGAGAAATCTGCAGCAGAGACCAAGAGGTAGTCAGAGAAGCACACTGGGAGCACACTGGGCAGGTGGATGTCCTGAGAGCCAGCAGAGTCAGTGCTTAAAAAGAGAAGCCTGGCTCAAGGGCGTGAGATTATGAAAATCCTCTAGTAATTTTAGGAAGAAATTGGTGATTTGGCTTTTGGGTTTACTAATTCTGATTTTAAACTTCTGTCAATTTTTCATTTTTTGTCCTTTTCTCTCAATTRATTAAATCAATTTGGCAGCTGAACATCTTAAAAATTAGAATATCTCACTTTACTTTTTATTTTAACAATATTTAGATTTTGGTGAACGTATTTTGGGCATAGCAATCCTATTCTAAGTTGCTTGGTTTTGAACACCACCTTTCTGATAGTAAACAAAATATGAGTGACTGGATAATTTAATCAATTTAAATTAGATTTAAGATTATCTAATAACTACATTAATAAATAAAGTTATGACAAGAAAGTAATTCTACTGTGCCCTTAAATCAATATTATGATTAAGAAACATCTGTGAAATAGTCTTTGATATGAATAAAAAATAATTTGATGATAATCATAATCAAAGTTTTTATGAAACAATTTTCACATGTACTAAAATTTATGTGAATTTTGGTCACATATAAAATTGATCATTTTTGTAAGATAGACATTTTAAACATACATGTATAGTATATAAYAATTCATTGAGGCACTGAAACCTCAAATACTGAAAATAATCTATTAAAAACAGTAAATTACTTTTTCTAATGAATTATAAATTGTTAAAAGTTTGCTATCTTTTCTATTTGAAGTAAAATTCAATCAATATACTAGCTTTGTTTATGTGTGAGTGTTATGAAGGTATTTATGTGATTGAAAAAAAATTTTATGTGGTATGCTAGTTAAATTGCAACAAGAATTCTCATTGGAAATATAATCTATACAATATTCAATTGTAAGCAATTCCTTKATTTGAATCAATATCCCTGAAATAAATGATTAATCATTTCCATATTGTTTCTAATGACTTCCTAAGAACAAGTAGTGATTACTATGTGTTTAATAATTTATCTGTGATGAATATGGTGTAAATTTTGCTTMTGTGTGATACTATTTTACCATTCAAAAATGAATAAGACAAAATACCTAACYAAAATATAGCAGAAATATGATTTTCATTGGTAGTTTTTAGACAGCATTTGTATTCGCAGTGAATATAATTGGAAACCAACAAAATCCTTCCAAGAAGAACATGAAAACTTTTTAAAAAGCAAAAAGCATACTAAATATGAGTGATTGATAAAATATATATCCAAATGGTCACTACATGTCAGTGTCCCTGTAAGAAAGGCAGCAAGTGAAGTGGATAAGATAAAGAACAATAAGTAAAAAATGCAGAAACAGTACTTTTGAAATTTTTTAAAATGCTGATGTGAGGTTATTTTCATTTGTATGCATATTTAATAAGCATCATGAGTATGATCATTGTTTTAGACAAACAAGCATAAAATCTTTCTTTTTCCTGAATCAATGTAAACAGAGCCCAGACGGCCGCATTGAAGTCAAAGGGCAACATGGAAGCTCATCACTGCATATTAAAGATGTAAAGCTGTCAGATTCAGGGAGGTACGACTGTGAAGCAGCAAGTAGAATTGGAGGACATCAAAAGAGCATGTACCTTGATATTGAATGTAAGTTACTTTCAATTTGTATGTTTATTAAAGCAAATTCATCTGCCTTGAAAAATATGATTTTTAWAAGAAAATCAAAATACATGTGCAATTCCTGTTTCAGTGTTTAATGAATAGCATTTAGAAGGAATGTAGCCATTCAAAGTCAGTTATTAGAGACATCTAGTGGAGGTAATGGGACATTTCACAGAGCTGCATATTTAATGGCCCATCCTGGAATGATGACTTTCGTTTTTATAATATTTAACCCCAAACTGAGCGTTAGCTAAATCATATCACTTATCAAAAATGTTCAATGACTCCTTAGACTTTTACGTGTGCTTTTAAAAATATATCATGATTCTGTGCCTCACATATGCAAAGACTCTTTCATTTCTTATTCTTTTGTTAAATTATTTTGCATCTTCTTAAGATATGAAACACTATCATAAATACAGTGAAATGCATCAGTACTTCTATTTTATCCAGATTGTGTTTGTTGTTTGTCTTGAAAATAGGACAATTACTAGGCCAGTTTTTAGAGTAAATTTGAAAAAAAAAAAGTGTTCATGACTATGAGATTGGGAAGCAAGAAGGCTAATGCAAGCTGGGCTTTCACAGTTCACTTTAAGTCATTGAATAGAATTTTAAAGTAAGATGCTATATATGTTATTTAAAAAGGAAGAAATTTAGCATCATTCTCAATAAATATTTATGAACCATCAGTGTTAGAAACTCTCTGATGCTTGAAGGAACATAGCTGTGTTAGTAGAAATGTTTGAGATAACTCTTGTTGACAAAACATTTCTATGGGCATATTTCTGGTACATTTATATTGATAGAAAGCAACAGTAACTGTGAAAAAAAAAGACACATTTTCTATTGAGAATCCCTTTAGAAAGAAAACACTTTTTCAAGAATTGACATAAGTTAAGTATGTTATTTTACATATTTATTCACTTTGCTAATATTAGGTGACTTCCAAGAAAGTCATTTTATTKTCATCACATGTCTTAAAAACCGAACAGATAAACAAATAGCCCTGATATTGTGGAGAATGTACAAAGGAGGAAGTGATAATATTAAATTACTTCATATGCTTTTTCTCCCCTCATATTATGTGCAGCTATTTTTTCATCATCATTATTGTACATTCCTTCCTCAGGTCAKCAATGGGAAAAATGAAAATATTCCTCAAACTTCCACCTGTTTATATTTTGTAATTTGAAATATGTTTATTTAGAACAAAATTTTCTTTACATTTTTGTCTTTGTTTAATATTTATATAAATAAAMGTAAACCTAAGGTCTTAATATATGATTAACATTTGAAGGTGCCCAACAATTTTTAAGACAAGACCTTTGAATACTACTGGCTTCTTCCAACTATTCAAACAAGGGCTAGGCAACTTACTCTAAGAAAACAATATTTAGGACTTATTTTGTCTTTTAAAAATAAATTAAAAGTTATTTAACATATTGTAAGACTATTATTAAATCCCTGTTGCAAGTAMTTACAAAAGGGGAGCTTTTGAAAAATGTACATAGTTGATATTTCCAAGACAGGGTAAGGCAGAATGGCTCATGACACTAGACTGTTAAGATTAACTAATATGCTCGTTCTAAGGTTGGTGCTATTCAGCAGTATAACTTGCATTCTTGGGATCTCAGATTCTTTCTTTATGGAATAAAAGGTTTATTTTTGTGGCATCTTTATACTCAAACCATTAAAAAGTGCTTTTCCTCAAGCATAGCCATATCCATAAAAGATACCTTAGGACTTCTGCATTATCATCCATGAATGACTGCATAGGTGTCTGTATGACATAAATAAAAACCTAGACTATGATATGTAATTTCTCTATTCTAAAACCTCATGAAAAAACATATAAAAGCCAATTGTATCTACCTTAAGATTCAGGTTCTGTGATGAGTGAAAGCAGACACACAGAAGAATAAAACAGATCCTCCTTTATTGGAACACCAGGACTAACAAGATTAAATCAAACTTAACACATATTCATATGTGAAAGGGATAGGTGGAGAAAAACTTGGAGATAATGTGAAATTCTAATATATAATGATATGATATTTTTAGTTGTCACCGATTTTAACTATGTAGAAAATGATAAAAGTGATGTTATATTACAATGTGAATTCTTTGCTATTGTAATATTTTAGTAAAATGAATAATTTAATATAAAAATACTTAGGATACCTAGTTTATCTATATCTATTTTAGGATATCTATTTTTCAAGGACTGATTTCTAACAAAGCACTATTTTCTTTTGATCACAAATTCATTTCTCCTTTATAGGCTTAAATATTAATTATTTTCAGCTTATGTATGTTGAGATAAGTGTTTATCCTAAAGTTCAAAATAAAATTATATAGTTTCCTTGTATATTTTATAATTCATATGCAAATAATCATGTACTATTATTTTTATTTCATATTTTAAAATRTTTCTTTTACATTMATTAGGGGCATATTGTAAACATTTTTCTGTATTTATGGTATATAAATAAGGTGTTTTTGAAAAATGTATTATTTATATTATTCTTGATTGGCAAATTATAATTATATATATTTATGGGATACAATAGGATGTTTTGATGTATTTATACAGTATTCAACAATTAAATTAAAATGACTAACATATTTGTATATTAATATATATTACCAATTTATTTTATGGTGAGACATTTAAAATTTGCCCTCTTAGTTATTTTAAATATGCAATACATTATTATTGATGATAGCCATCTGGCTATGCAATAGACTTCCAAACCTATATCTCCTAACTATTTGAAACTTTGCATCCTGTGTTCAGCAGCTTCCCTTCTCCTTCCTTTTCACCCCTCCAGGCTTTGGTAACTATCATTGAACTCTATAAAGTATGAACTCAATTTTATTAAATCCCATGAAYAAGTGAGCTCATACAATATTTTTCTCTSTGTGCCTGACTTGTTTCACTTACTGTAATGCCYTCCATATTCATCCATGTTACAATTGAAAAGTAAGTCTTTGGGTGTACATACCACATTTTCTTTATGCTTGTATCCTGGATGGGCATTAATATTTATTGCATATCTTGACTATTGTGAATAATGCTACAGTGAAYATGGGTGTACAGATTCTCTAGRGGCTGCTAATTTTATTTCCACTTAGTAATGTGCCCACAAGGATTACTGGATCATATGGTGCTTTTTGTTGTTGTTATTGTTGTTATTTTCCCTTGAGGAACCTCCATGCAGTTTTCCATGGAGGCAACACTAATTTACTTTTCAACTTACGGCATACTATAAAAGCTTGTTTCCTTTTCTCTGCATCCTCTTCAATACTTATCTGTCATCTCCTTAATATAAACTATTTTAACAGGTATGAGATGATACCTTAATATGGATTTAGTTTGCATTTTTCTAATTAGTGAAGCTATATATTTTTTCATGTATTGTCCAGTTAAGTATCTTCTTTTGAGAAAGGTAAGTTCAAGTCCTTTGACCATTTTAAAATTACATAATGCCTTTTCTTGCTATTGAATTCAGTTCCTTGTGTGTTTTGAATATTAATTCTTTGGCAAGTGTATTATTTTATAATATTTTCTCCCATTCCATTATTTATCTTTGCTGAGCTCTTTCATTTAATATTCATTGACACATATATCTGTATATCAATAATTTATTATGTTTCTTTCTTTTATTCTATTATACACAGATCATAGAAGTTTTCTGGTATGTTGGTGGCCATTTTTTTGTTTTCAGATATTGGATATTATGCAAAACATCTTTGTGAATATTTTTTGAGAATCATGTGGGCATATGCTTTCTGCTTCATGAAAATAAA